TTAAGTTTGTATTGTATTGTCTTGTCTTATATTGCACCTTGAATTGCAGTGGGCAGGGGTCCTGTTTCCTGTAAAGAAGGTGGGTGGGTGGTGTTTTTGGTAGTTTATTTGTTGTAATATCTTACGATTGTGTACTGGCTTTTTCTCAATATATATGTTTTTAAAAAAGAAAAGGCAAGCATGTGTAGGACTTTGTGTTTTGCACAAAGTAATGTGACTGTTTTTTAGCCACACAGCTGTGATTCCTAGCTCCTGTTAGCGGAGGGGTTGGAGTTTGATCCACAGACAGGCACCAGGGCGATTCTTACCTTCCTTTTCTCTCTCTCTCTCTCCTTGCAGGTTAGCGGACGGCAAAGAATTTTTATTCCAGGCCAAGGATGAGGTGAGTAGAGGTCTAATTCTGCAAATCCTGCTTCTAGAGAACAGGTGGCTCCAAGGCCTCCGACCCCACCCCACCCCCACCATGAAGCCAAATTGCGGCCCTCATTTCAGCTCCAACTTTTCCTCCTACAATAGCATCAGGAACAGCCTGGTTTGGGAGCTGCTGAATCAGACTGATGGTCCATCTAGCAGTGGCTCTCTGGGGTATCCGATGGGCCTTTTCCCCAGCCCAACCTTGAGATGGTGGGGATTGAACCTGGGATGTTCTGCAGCACTTGGCTATGGGGCACCTACCCACTTTCATGGCTAGAATCTTTCTGAAAGTCTGTATGGGAAAAAAGGATACGTTTAAGGTGCGTGGCTTCTCCCCAAGGAATCCTAGGAACTGTAGTTTATAAGGGTGCTGGGAATTGTAACTCTGTGGGGCATGAACTGCTGTTCCTAGGATTCTTTGCGGGGAGACAGGTGCTTTGAATGTGTGCCGAATGTGCTTTAAATGTACAGTGCGGATGTGCTGCTCAAAAGCCACACCCTTTGACCTGGGTCCCGTCCCCCCCCCATCTCAGGATTGGGACAGGCTCTAGATATTTCTTGCCCTCACTCTATGCTCTTTTTTACCCATGCCTCCAGTGCTAAGAGTCGAGTGCCACAGATTAAGTAGCCAGAAGAAAGATTAAGTAGCCATCTACAAGAAAGGTGGTCATAATAGGATTGGGGTGGAGGGGGGGATTCCCATCAACTCAGGGCATTGGCTGTGCTGGGTGAGGCTGATGGGAGTTGGAGTCTATAAAATGAAAGAAGCCGCCTATCCATGCCAGCCCAGCCTCTGACTCCAAAGCCCTTAACATCCACCCTCCCTTATATACCCCTTAGAGGGGGAATGGTGCCATTTCTCAGGGGCATGCTGGGGGGGGGGAACACTCCGCATATGCTCAGAAGGACTATCGGCTCATGCTTTGCCCCCTCTCCCACTTCTTCCCCCATCCCAGGCTGAGATGAGCAGCTGGATGAGAGTCATCAACGCTGCAGCTGCCTGCGCCCCAACACCACAAGGCCCTGCAGAGGACCAGCCACAGCTCATCAGCAAAGGAATGACCCGGGCCTTGACCATGCCTCCCGTCTCGCCTAACAGCGCCCCGGAAGGGACTGTCACTCTGCGTAGCAAAGAGTCCAAGGAAAAAGATCGCGAGAAACGCTTTAGCTTTTTCAAGAAGAACAAATAAGGGGCCACACCCGGAGAAGTGGGGCAGGGTGGGGGCTGCAGCTGCCGAATCTGTACAGAACTGATCATCAGAGCGGGCATGGCGGGGGCTTTGGACTGGGGGGGAGGGAGGGAGGGGCCGGGGCATGACACAGCTGATGGAGACCACAGTTGTTTTTCTTTTTTTAGTACTGCAGATTGCATGAAGCATCTTCAAACTTTATGAGGAATGCCTCTCCTCCTGCCTCCCCGCCCTCCAACAAAAGAAAAAAAACTAAACAAGCCATGCTGCCTCTATCGAATCACGTTTGCAGAAGCCCCTGGCAGAGATGCTGCATTGGAGGGTGGGGGGCAGGCTGCCTTGAGATGGGAGGGGAGGGGGTTGATGAACTCTGGGTGTGATGGGAGGGGTGCACATCTGGGTCATCAAGTGATGGGTGCTGCGCAGGTCATGGGGAGAGGGAGGAGGATGGCCCGCTACTTCCATTCAATAGGAGCAGAGGGATCCCAACCTTTCTGGGATTGCAACGGCATGGGCTCTGTGCAAAAGTTTTCCATTTCCAGGTGCCATCAAAACTTTGTCGGAGGTGAAATGGACTGTTCAGGGTTTTGTCGTTGAGAATCTTCTCCTATGATCTCATCCCTAGCCAGGAAATGCTTCCACTGCCTGAGGAGCCCCACCACCTCACCCCATTTTCCTCCCTGCGATACCTGGTATGCTCCTTCACGTTTTTGCAGCCTCCTGAAATGGGCCCTGTCCTGAAGGCTAACAGGAAGGAACAAGATATGGTTGGTTTTGAAGAAAAGCCTCTTTTCCAGTGCACTGCTGGACCCAACCTTGCTCTCTGTCTTTCCCCTCCAATTTTTTTTTTTAAGCTAAATCATGTCCCCATCAGCTGTCTAAAAACAGTAGCTAAGCGACCTTCTCAATGGACAAGGAATTGAGTTCCCCTTTAATTAAGGACCCCGGTCCTTGGCTTTCATCAGGGATGGGTAGAAGTTAGATTGGAATCTTGTTAGTAGATCTCTGGCTGTTTTGTGGTAGATCGGCAAGAGGTTTTGACTCCTAATGGTCTGACAATAGCAACTGCCTCCTCCCTCAAATCGTACTGCTTTGGGAGGGAGTAAGCAGGAGTGGATTTTTGTATGAAAGGATTTGTGATCTTGATACTGGATACTTATCACTACTTCCTGGACTCAGCACGTGCTCAGAGGGCACACTTTCATCCTTAATTCTTATTAAGTCCTCAGTACATTTGCTCAGTTGAGCTCCTGTTGTTGCACCTGGCTCCAGGTGGTAGATCTCAGGGTTGTAGGGGGAAAACAAAGTAGATCCCTCAGGCCTACACTCTGCCCAGGCCTGGATTAGGGTTATGCTACCTAAGCAAGGAGAGGGTGTTTGAATGGAGACATTGTGGGTGAGCAAGGTAGGGGGCAAAGCCCCCCCCCCCCAGTCTTTGAAACTGCCTCCTCCACTGTGATTCTTACAATTTCGCAAGCCTCCAGACTGGGAGCAGAACCGGGATAAACAGGTGGTTACAGGAGAGGGGCAAAAGTCTTGCATGAGACAAATTTAGCTTTCTTCTGTCTACCAAGGCCAGTTCCATGTTTTTGGGGAGTGGGGGCTGGCAAAGTACCCTTCTGGACCCAGGCTTATTGGCCAGCTGGTTCTTGAAAACTAGCAGCCACATTTATTTTCCCACAATACTCTTGATGCCCCTGGAACATTGTGGGAAATTTTAAAATGGCAGGCGTCATTGGTTTGCCAATGGTTTGGGGGGGGGGGCTGAACCAGATGTTGGCACCACTTGGGCCAAAGCAGGCATTGCTGCTGATTGGTAGGCCGTCTGCCAGAGGCACCCATCACTTCCACTTTAGATCATATCCCCTTCTATCACTCGCTCTCACTCTCTCTCTCTCTCACACACACATGCTTTGCTGGCTGGGACTGATGGAAGTGGTAGTGCAGAACATTTGGAGGTCACCAGGATTGGAAATACTTGTTCTACAGCAGTGGAGCAGAGCTGCATCCTAAGAGACACCTTCTGCCAATCACAATTATCTATGGCTCTGGTAATCCATGCCACTATTATAAAGACCACTCACACACCCCTGCCTTTTTCTGGCCTTGATTTCCTCATCTTCTATGAGCTCAAACATCTAATCCAGCAAAACTCACAAGCAGCACCTCTTGTAAGTTCTCAGCATCTGTTATACCAGCCTTCTCCAACTGGAGATGTCTTGAACGACAACTTCCATCAGCTCCAGGTAACACATCTATGCTACTTGGGGCTAATGGGTCTCGGGGTCTAAATCACTTAGGCTCCATGCTGGAGGAGGTTACAGTACATGGAAGTATCCTGCCTGTGAACATAGACATTTCTTTCTGCACTACCGTGGCTCATAGCAGCTTCTATACTCCCCAGCCGCAGGTCCAGTCTCCACATCCTGTGGCCATGAGTCACTCTGTTCTGTCTTAAAAGGGAGACTTTGGAATCAAAAGGGAGCAAATGCATTGTGTTCTGGGCAGTGGTTGTATTTTATTTTTTTGCAAAGCCTGTCCTGAAAATAACTCCTCTCTGGGCCCTTTTTCAAGAAAAAGAAGCAGGAAAGGTTGTTCCTGAAGGCTATATTGAAGGGAGCCAGTTTACACGGCTGGAACATGTGTATTCGGGTGGTGGTGGTTGGGTATTACAAGAATCACATTACTTTGCCCGGTTGTAGGAACTGAGGTTGCTCTGTTGGGTCTACCTGGATTCGATGTCCATCGAAACCTCACCAGCTTGCCTGATCTCCGCAGGCATGGAATTCCACTGCTGATCTTCACATCCCGCACAGCTGTGTCTTTGCTCCATTCCCATTTTTCTAGCTCTGGTTTTTGACCTGTGTGTGCCTTCCTTTTCATAATCATATGCTGCCCTGCCTGCTACACTTCCACCCCCCCACCCCCTTGCCATGTGAAGATAACACTGCGCCATCACCCTTGCCACAAAGGATGCAGAGGCTGCCTCAGCACAGGGCCCACAGCAGGGTGCGCAAAACCCAGAGAGCAGCCATTGCCTGTCTTCCGACAATCTGGATTACAGGAGGTGACTTGGGAAGAAGGTTCTGTTTCTGAGGGATGGGGCCTGGCTTTTAAAAGCAAGGCACTCTGTGCCTTCCCAGCACACCTGTCAGGGGTCCCTGCTCCCAAGCAGCGTCCCGGTGGTGTATCCGTGCTTGTGGGAGACCGTTATTCACGTGTTTGCAGTGGCATCTGTTCCGATCTTTTTGGACAAATAAAAAGAATCTGTGTAGAGAGTAGCCAGCCTGTTTCATTCCTGCCCAACTGTTGCGATGGCAGCAAAATCTGAAATCCGCTCCCCGTGTTGCTGTCTCTGTGTTAAAAGGCAAATACTGTAGGCTGAGCAGGATCTTATTTACTTATTTATTAAAATACTTATATACCACCAAATGATAAAAAATATACCGCAATGGTTCACAACATTAAAAATATAAAAACCATATAATAAAAGTGTCCCAAAGTTAAAACAATTTTAAAAGCAAAAAGTTTTAAAACAAGTCTGCTTGGTCAGTTGCTTTTTTAAGATGGAGAGAGCTGCCTGATGAGCCAAAATATAGGCAGGTGAAGCTTTCCAACACGGAGAAAAGCTTTGCCTTGTCTTGCTAGTCACTCTGCAAAAAGTGATAATGCAGGGACATGTATGGAGTTGGCGTTTTCAGGCACCTTGACAGGGTCCCCTTTGCTGATCACCAGAGCCTATTGCTGCAATTCTCACCCTTGTCACCGGGAAACCTCTTTTCACTCACCTGCCCTTTCTCTCTGGGGAACAGTGAAGATTGGGGTCAGAATGAGTGGCTGCAGGGATGAGGAGAGACGCATGCACTGCATCTTGCCCAAGGGTTTCCCTGGAGAGTCAATGTCAGTGTTGAGCTAGAAAAGCCTGACTTGGGGCAAGGCAGCTCCTCCTGTTAAAAACCCTGAGTCTGCAGCATGCAACACTTTAACTGGTGCACCCCAAGAGGAGACCCGTCATTTGAAGCGGAAACTTGATTGGATAAGTATTGTTAACCCAAAGACGCCCCCACCCCCACTGCAGCCTTCTATAGTCTCCAGCTACTGCCATCAGCTTCCTTTAAAAAAAGGCTGACAGTGCTTTTTTAACAGACATAGCACAGGCAAAAGTTTAGTATAAAAGGAGCCCTAGTAAACCAGAGCCCATCCCTGTCAATAGCCACCAGCCATTATGGTTGTGCTCTACCTCCACTGCCAAGAGATAGCATGCCTAAATGCCAATTGCTAGGAATCAAAAGTGGGGGAAGGAGAGTGTTGCACTCAGGTCCTTCTTGCAGGCTTCCCATAGGCATCTCGTTGTCCAATGAGAGAACAGGATGTTGGACTAGGTGGGCCTTTGGCCTGATCCAGCAGCCAGGCTCTTCTTAAGATCTTAACAGCCAGGGAGACTCACAAGCATGAATTATGTCTTGTCTGCTAACTGATATTCAGCTTGCACCTGTCCATGGAGGTTCCACTTAACTATCACTGTCCATAGCCTTCAGTAGGCATCTCCTCTGTGATGCTTAATTAGAAGAAAAGTACAGCCCCATTTCCCCCTTGGACAGTCCTTATCTGGCATACTTCCCTTTTGACACACTGCATCTGCCCACTGGAAAAAAGCTTTCCCTACTGGATTTCTGCCCATACTGTGAGCTGTGAATGGGTGGGTGGGGGGAACAACTGAAAAGAAAAAAGTTTATATTCTACTTCAGACACCCTACGGAGAATCCCCACAATCAGGGCTATGTTTGGTGATACTATTCAGTGTTCTCATTTCATCCTCACAGTGACCCTGGAAGGTAGGCTAGGTTGAGAGATGGTGACACAGTGAACTTCATGACTGAATGGAGACCCAAAGCCTGGTTATTGTCCAACACTAACCATTATGCCACACTAGCTCTCAAGATAATTTTCAGGAGTCTTACCGAGTCCTACCAGGCAATGCTAGGAATTGAACCTGGGACATTTTGCATTGCATAGCATGTACTCTACCATTCGGTATGAAGCTCCCACTGGGTGAATTTGGGCCAGTCCTCCTTGCTTGGCCTCACCCACCTCACAGGGTTGTTGTGAGAATAACACGGAGAGGGGGGCCTGGAACAGAATAAAGTAAGTGGGGTAACAGCGTTAATCATGGATAGATGGGGAAAACATTAATAAAGGTACTCCGAGGCTCCTCTCCCCACCCTATTTTCAGGCACTCCTTCCCAAAAAGTACCTCTCATCCACCACCACCTCGCTGCGAGCCCCTATGGAATAGTCCTCGCCACCTTCCCTTGGAGCAAACCATATTCACTCCGACACCACCCCCGCCTTTTCGTGGTATCACCCAAGAGGGGGGGGGGACTTCCCAAATCCACGAGCCTACCATTTAGCAACATACACTCGGTGGCCCCCACCTCCCAACTGAGCACCCCCACGCTCCTGAAAATGGTACGACCCTTCGCTCTTGGACGACGCGAGTCGTCATTGAGAACGAAGGATCAGCCGACGTAGGCGGGGGGAAGAGGAGAAAGCTGGGCGTGGGCGCGCCAAGGGGCGAGAATTTCCCCGCTGTTCCTCCTCGTCGTCGACGTCAGATGCTAGGAACCAACCCACATGGCTGCCTTTTCAAAGAGGGCTCTCATTGGCTAGACTTCCTTGATAGACTCTCGCCCGTGCCCACTCACCACGCGCGGCGGTTCCTCGTGGGACCAATTAGGGTACAGCGGAGCGCGGGTTAGGGAGTTCGGAGGGCGGGTGAGAAGCTTTTCCGTTGTCTCTGCCGCCATTTTGTGCCGTGGGCTGCCGCTGCCGCTGCTGCTGCTGCTAAGGCAAGGTAACGAGGTGCAATTCTGGGCGGTTGGCTGAAGTGTAAAGCGGGGTTGGGTGGGTTTTGTGGAATTAAATAATACTGGTAATATTATTGGTAATAATTGTTATGTTATTGACATTAATTAATTCTTCCTCGCCTTATTCTTCTGTTATATAGCGATACTTTAATATCTAGCATTTTTTAATTATATGCCACCCGATAACCAACTTCTCCGGGTTGCGTATACGAAAACAGCGAATACGATAACATACAATACTAGCAGTTACTTTTTAAAAAGCATTATGTGGTCAGTATGAACCCTTTCAGTTTTATCCTAATTGATGTTGACACGTCGTTAGATTCAATACTGTAATGTAAACTTAATAAGATCTTAATAGTATCCATAACGTGCTATATATTGTTAGCACATTGTGTTTATACTCTTAACAATAAGCATATTCCAATGTTAGCGTTCATTTCTAGCAAATAATGAAGAAAGTATTACGTTACGTGCGCTATTGTTGTTGGCTGTTGTGTTTCTTGCCTACCCCTTGCCACAGTTCCAGGGTAGAATTGCAACATTTAAAAAACATGAGACAGTAAAACAGCTCTATCATCCATAACCCCGCCAAAATAATTCCACACAGCGCATTACTCAAAGGACCAGGATATAGAGGTGTGTCTTCAGCAACGGATGGAAGCTGTAAAGACATGGTGCCTCTTGTACCTCTGTGGAGAAGGAGTTATCAGTTCTTGGGGGCATCGCTGAGAGGGCACTCTCCTGAGCTGCAAGAAGTTCTTCAGGCTGCTTACAAAATAATGGTTTTGTTAGTATTATTGTTGTTGCAGTTTATTATTATCTTTGCATCAGTGTCACTGTGTACACGCAAATTTACAAAGTCTTAAGTGTAAAGAGAGAGGGCAGATGGACCATGCCCCAAGAAGTTTATTATTAAAATGTATACCCTATCTTTCAATTAAATTAACAAGGCGGGGTATGGATCTTTGCAAACAATAAATAGATTTGGGGGCTGAAATCACCCCTTCTCATTTTACTTATGACATTTCAGCTAGTGTGGTGAAGTTGGGGGGGGGGGAAGAAAAGCAATTAAGTCATTGCGTGACAAAAATACTTTATTTGCTTTCTACTATCCTGTTTAGCTTACCTCATTTGAAAGTGAGCTACGTAAAGGTGCTTGCTAAACTGAAGTATTGTGCTTTTGCACCATCTTCTGAGTGAAATCCAATTTAATTTCAATGGGTTTTTGTGGCAGAGTACAATGGATGTGTGCTACTTTTATTCTTGGGATTAAATGTTATGTATTACATTCCTCTCATGGTAATAAATGGGGTAGAGGGGGTCTGCTTCTGATTGGGACTGTGACAGGAGCAATGGGTTAAAGGCTGAGGCCCTGGTCTCCCTGTCAAATGCTCTGATGGAGGGGACACTAGGCCAATTTGCTGCTGAGCATCCTCTCTCAGTCCATGGATGTGATGGGGCCCACTGGTTCTTGGGAGGACCTTTGATCAGTGAAATGGACTGGCCACTGGTTTGAACATAAGTGGCACAAGTCTCTCATGGAATATGGCCAAGCAAAGGTAAGAGTGTATGTTCATACCTACCATGTGGTGGTGATGGCTTATTACTTTGCCACCATGGTATCCTCAAATAGCCGTTTAGCAGAGCTGTTCTACATAGTTCAAGGTTTCCCACCCCTCATGACGGGGAACTATGGTTATCACTTGCTGTGAGCGATTTGCAAGGCACTTTTAATACAAAATCATTTGCATTTGGTCTGACATGGACAGCATATTTCTGCAAGTCAAGGGGAAGTCTCTGGCAAGTGTCAAGGTTGGATAAATGGGATCAATTTCAGCTGTTGTGCCCCAATGACCTGGAGAAGATAGTTGAAGAGGTTTGGCCTACCATCTGCAATCTTGACCCTTTGCTCATCCTGGCTTATAAAATCTAGTTGAAAGGGATTGACTGGTTGAATACTTCATTTAGGGAGGATTGTGCTGTGTTGGCTGCCTTGAAGGAGAGTGCAATCCCTCCTGGAGAAGCCTTCCTTAGACCGAGAAATGTGATACCCACTTTTGGGAGCAAGGCAATTGAGAAGGTAATAGCTGTTCAACTTCAGGTGTGCTTGGAAGAAGCATGTTATCATGGCCTATTTCAGTCAACTGCCTAGTTTGGGCACAAAGACAGCTTTGGTTGCCCTTATTGATTATTTGAATTGGGAGAGGGATGGGAGTGTGTATGACACTGTTGATTATCACTTAACAGCTTTTGATATACTTAGCTCTGGTGTCCTACTGGGCCGCTTTTGTAAATTGGGAATTGGAGGCAGTGTTGTGCAATGGTAGTTCATCTACTCGGGGTACCAGATTCAGAGAATAGCCTTTTGAGATTCCTGCTTGACCCCATAGTAATTGCGCTGTTCAGCTTTGTAGGGGGTCCATCCTGTCTGCTATGCTGTTTAACATCTATGTGAAGCTGTTGGGTACCATCATCAGGGGATGTGGGATGAGTTGGCATCGATATGCTGATGATACCTTCTTTGCATTGGAATCAGAAGGTTTTTGGGTGTGAATTGATTGCCTGGAAGTTATGGAGGGCTGGGGGCGAGCACTGAGCTGAAAGGATGGAGATTCTGTGGCTTTTTGGTCCTATATTCAGGAAGTGGGTTCACACCTTATTCTGGAGAGGTTGCACTCCCATTAAAAGATCAGGTATGTAAACTCTAGTAGCCACATTGTCACAGAGTGTCTGTTACTAGCTACTTTTGGTTCACCAGCTATGGCCTTTCTTGGACTGAGATAGAGTGGCTACAGTAACCCACGATTTGGTAACTTCCAAACCAAGTACAGTACTGCAATGCACTCTACATGGGGCTACCATGCCATAGGGGTTTCAGTGATGGTTGAAACCATTTTTGTTTCCTTTGGGTAGTGGCAGAAGAATAAATGTATTTTTATCCTATCAGAAATGTTTGTGTTAGTTTTAGTTGTATAATTTTTTAATTTTATTTTTTATTTCTATTGATGTGACCCATACCCTACAACCTTTGGGTGAAGGGCAGGGTATAAATCTCAATAATAAAACTTCCCCTTAGCCCACACTACTGTCACAATTCAGTTTCCACCCCACACACCGACTATTTCATTAAAAACAACTATGCAATACTAAACCAATGTCACATCTAGTTTTGCCCTAAACTAAACTCGTGCTGCATGGGACGCGGGTGGCGCTGTGGGTAAAAGCCTCAGCGCCTAGGGCTTGCCGATCGAAAGGTCGGCGGTTCGAATCCCCGCGGCGGGGTGCGCTCCCGCTGCTTGGTCCCAGCGCCTGCCAACCTAGCAGTTCGAAAGCACCCCCGGGTGCAAGTAGATAAATAGGGACCGCTTACCAGCGGGAAGGTAAACGGCGTTCCGTGTGCTGCGCTGGCTCGCCAGATGCAGCTTTGTCATGCTGGCCACGTAACCCGGAAGTGTCTGCGGACAGCGCTGGCCCCCGGCCTCTTGAGTGAGATGGGCACACAACCCCAGAGTCTGTCAAGACTGGCCCGTACGGGCAGGGGTACCTTTACCTTTAAACTCGTGCTGCATGCACACCATACATTTAAAGCAATTGGGGTCTCCCAAAGAATCCTGGGGACTATAATTTACCCCTCATTGAACAATTCCCTGTACCCCAACAATCTACAGTTCCCAAGATTCCTTAGGAGAGCTCATGTGCTTTAAAAGCACAGTGCATATGCAGCCATATTTAGGCTTCAGTCTTATTGAACTCAAAAGCTTGTTTCTATAGAGCCATGCAAAGGACTGCATTGTTAACTTACTATCTAAATTAGAAAATGAGAGGACGGTGAGGTAAGCAGGTAGCAAAAGCAATTAAATGCATGTACTTGCATTTTTTATTTATTTCAGAAGTTTATATGCCATCTTTCCACTCCCTCAATAGAGTGCTTGGTGGCTTGCAATATATAAGAAATAAGAGTCCTAGCAATACATTTTTAAAAAAACCCACACACCTTAAAAGAGCATGAAAAGAGATGCAATGTCAATCTTGGTTATAATTGCAGTGTTGAGAGTGGGGGGATGTAATCCAAAGGCCCTGAGGAGAGACTGGTTTTTTGAAAAGGGATTTATTTGACGGTAGAGAGCTGAGCACTTCAAGAGGGTGTGGCACAAATCCACAAAGCAGCACCAACACAAGTAGCTCCAATTCAATAGCAGAAATTGAATAAACCAACCCAGCCTTAATCCCCAAAGGTTAGGAGAGATGCTGCTTTGTGGAAGGCAATTCCAGAGGGATGTACCTCACAAAAGATGTTCTGATCTTCTGCTATAGCAACAATCTGTTGCCCAGAAATTCTGTAGGGGAAGCTTTTCTTGCATGAAGTGAATGTAAAATAGTCACTTTCTAAATTTTTCTATGCCAAGCCGCTGTTAAAGGCACAGATAAAGGGCCTGAAAAAAGAGAGTGGGAATGACAATACCTATGATAGGTTAGATAGGTTTTGTTACCATCAAGCAGTATACAGTAATACCTTGGAAGTTGAACAGAATCCGTTCCGGAAGTCCGTTCAACTTCCAAAATGTTTGAAAACAAAATTGTGGCTTCTGATTGGCTGCAGGAAACTCCTGCAGCCAATCAGAAGCCGCGGAAGCCCTATAGGACATTCGGGTTCCAAAAGACCGTTCGCAAACTGGAACAATCACTTCCAGGTTTTGCGGCATTTTGGAGCCAAAATGTCTGAGTTCCAGGGCATTTGGGATCCAAGGTACGACTGTATAAATAAATGTTGCAGCGTGTGGGTGGAATGCATCTTTGGATTTGTATGCAGAGGTCTGCTTTTACAGAGACTTTAAACATAATTAAGACATTATTGTGAGCTGCTTTGAATATCTGAATGCTTAAGAGGTGAATATAAATCTGTTGAATAAGTGAATCTTCCTAGAAAATCAGTTTGTGGTAAATAGGATAGATCACTTGCTTTGGATATATAGGAAATCCAGGTTTAGATCCTTCAGTTATTATTACTCTAAAAGTTTATATTCTTCCTTCCAAAGGAGCTCAGGGAAGCAAGTACATAAGCCTAATAACAATATTTCTAAAAACAGGCAGTCCATCTGCTGCATGGTGAAAGAGGGGGGTTGTGCCTGCGCACTGCTATCCACACACATAAGAGAAGAACTTCTGAAGAGGAGAGTCTGCTTGAAGTACCTGTGACTTAGAGCTCTGATCACACCAGTTTGCAAACCATGGGAAGGCTACTTACCTAGAGTTTGCTTCTCTGTACAGATATCCCCACCACCACCATATGGGGGTAGAGCCATAGTAGTGAGGGCCTTCTCAACAAGATTATGATCTCTTGGAAGATAGCACTTGAAGGGGGCTTGTGAAATTCATTAGATGCTCTTGATCTTGATGTGAGGAATTGTTCTTTGACTAGTGAATCCCGGTTTGGTTTTCTTTCTTTGCGTAAGTGTCTTAATACTGTTTGTCTTCCTTCATTGAAATGCAGCCTCTTTCTTGTCCCCCACGCTCAGCATTAGCCACCATGGTGAAACTTTTTATTGGCAATCTTCCTCGGGAGGCCACGGAGCAGGAGATCCGCTCCCTTTTTGAGCAGTACGGACGGGTTCTGGAATGCGACATCATCAAGAACTACGGCTTTGTGCACATTGAGGACAAGACGGCAGCCGAGGATGCCATCCGCAACCTGCACCATTACAAGCTGCACGGGGTGTGCATCAACGTGGAGGCCAGTAAGAACAAGAGCAAGGCTTCCACCAAACTGCACGTAGGCAACATCAGCCCCGGCTGCACCAACCTGGAGCTGCGAACCAAGTTTGAGGAGTATGGGCCGGTGCTTGAATGCGACATTGTTAAGGATTACGCGTTTGTGCACATGGAGAGAGCAGAGGATGCCGTGGAGGCCATCAGGGGCCTTGACAACACAGAATTCCAAGGTGGGAAAGGGGGAGCCAGGTGGGCTAGGAACAGGAAGGAAAAAGACCCATGTACGGGTTCGCCTCTCCCACGGGGGCTGACCAGAGTTTCAAACTATTCCAGCCACGTTCAGCAGCTAGGAGGGCTGTCTGCTGGCTAGATTTTAATATTTGATTAGACTTGCTTCTAACCAATGATTTTCTTAAATAGATTCGATTTAAATACATGTACAGTGGTGCCTCGCAAGACGAAAAGAATCCGTTCCGCGATTCTCTTCGTCTAGCGGTTTTTTCGTCTTGCGAAGCAAGCCCATTGACAGCTTAGCGGATTAGCGCTACAGCGGTCTAGTGGCTTTCAGCGATCAGCTGTTAAGCGGCTTATCAGCGGAACAGCTGATAAGCGGCTTAGCGCCTTAGGAAAGGGGGGGGAGCGAAAAAACCCTGCGGGGACCAACCCCATAGGGAAATTCGTTTTGCGAAGCGCCTCCAAAACGCTTTCGTCTAGCGGGTTTTCCGTCTTGCGAGGCGTTCGTCTTGCGGGGCACCACTGTACATTCTTGGCAAAAGGCCTTGTTTGAGGATTTGAAAGTGGGTACTTTATTTTCTGTGAGAGAAATTTAATGAACCAAAGCTCACTGCTTTCTGAAAAGGAAGGCCTCCTCAATACATTTGCATCCAAATTTGTATATACCACTTGTAGAGCCAGAACAATTTCAAATACAAGTAAATTTAATGAAATCCCAGAAAGATGCCTTAAAAATTGATTTTAGCTGAACAGCCAACGTATTAGAAGAAAAACTTTCAATGTATCCTCCCACCCCAAAAGAAGTTTTCTAACTTTAAATTTAAAAATGACTTTAAATTTCTCTTACATCCAGTACAGAACAGCAATGAAAAAGCCCCCAGGTCTTTCAGAGTTCCCAGGTCTCTGCTTCTTGTTAGCCCTACTAGTTATGTGGTGTTTGTGGATGTTCAGTGTGTATTTAAAGTTTTAGTTAGTTGGTTATTGATTGAATTGCTATAAGCATTCAGCACTGATGATTGAAGATCGGCTCAAATCCATGCGATATGGAGCCCACCCACCACCTAATCAGCCTTTTGACCTTGTGCAATCCTACCCTTCCTCCTCACCCAGCTTCCTTACCTACCTGTCACTTTCCTTTCAGCAAGTAGATCCTTTTTAAAAACAAGAACTGCCTCTCTTCTTCCCGCTTCCCGCCTCTATAGCTATCAATCACTTAAGTCCATGCTTCCCAGCCCACTGCCTGCTCTGTTCCCATTCCTTCAGCCAGTTTACTTTTGCACTTCCTGTGTTTTCTACTTCCAGGCCTTCTTAACTGATCCCCCCCCCCGCCCTTTCCTTTTATTGCTGACAACACATGGCTTCTCCTTCCCAAGGCCTGCATGACCTTTTACTTCTCTCTTAGAAGCTGCAATATTTATCAACATTCTGTTGCTAACAGCTTCCTGCCGAGCAGTTAGATTGTCATTGTTAGATCCAAGACAACATAGCAAATCTGAAAGCTAGGGACAGGCAGCAAAGATTGATTTTTTCAGCTTGTTCTAGTACTCTACTATTTCTATTCTAGTAATTTATTTATTTATTTATTTTTCTTTTTCTTTTTACTTCCACTTTTCGGGGGTTTGGAGAGGGATATATACCTAATTTTGAGAATGTTGAACATCTGGGTTGTACTTTAGTTGGTTACTAAAACTCTTCAGTACAGTGTTTGCAAAAATGTGTTAACAAAACAAATTTATCCAATCTGGAGCTTTTTTTGGGTGGGGGAAGAAATCCAAAATAACCATCCATGTCAATTTTTGCTGAGGTTGATACCTTCCAGGTGAGAATTGCACGATAATATGTTAAAGTACTCTTTCTTCCAACAAAACAACAACAACCAAAATGTACAATTAAAATGCACAGTTTTTTTCATTTTCCTTTTAGCTTGTCTGGAAAGTGGTTAGAATCTAGCTATATCATGCTGATAGGTAAGATGTAACTCTGTATATAAAGTTAGATGTCTCTAGGGAGTGGTCAAGGCAAGGAATTGGTAGGGTTGTAAGTCATGTGAGCAAAGGCCTGGTTCATTTGAAATTGTTTGGCTGAGCTGTGTTCATGGCGGGGAGAAGCCTGTATAGAGTTAAGACAGGGATAAACATATGCTGAAATAAGCCATAATATTTATTACCTATTAAGGCAAGCCTCCACCTTTTCAGTCTCTCTGTTGCTTCAGCATTTTAGGACTTGCAGACCAATGCCCATTATTTGTTTGCTTGTTTCATCTCCCAATCTGGCAGTATTAAGCCACACTTTGAGGTGAGAAATTCCTACTTGCGGTCCTTTTGGCTCCAAAGAGTAGTTGTATATAGTCTTGGATTTGGTGTTGAAGACTTTATACAATTAAATTCAGCCACTGTAGCTAACTTGGCAGCGAAGTGTGTTTCTCTGTGCCAAGGTGCTTCACTCATACTCCCTGAAGACTGCGAGGCTAGTAACAGTGATTGTTTATGAATTCCAGGAAGATAACTAAGTAGCAGCAAAAAAGGTACAAATTGCCTGAACCAGAAGGGATTTTTGCAAACACAGCTGATCATGCAAAGATGAGAGAAGCTTCTTCAGTGGTGTTACTCAGTTAAAAGTGGGGTCTGGTGAGCAGTGCCCGCCCTGTTCATGCAGCTTTTAAGGCACAGGATCCCACCTGCTGCTTATTTGGAGTTGTGGGTTGACATGCAATGGAGCATAAACCCCAAAAGGTGAGATCAGGAACACAGAAGCTGTTTCACAGTAACCAAGCTGTGCAACCTGATCCATTGGACAAAAGTGGGCAAGAAAGATAACTTTGGAAGCTGAGCCACATGTACTCCCAGGCAGAGTTAGAAAGATATATAAGCTAATCACCAAATGGCACCTTAAACCTAGGTAACAGTCGCCACAACAGAATGTCTAGGTGCCATTTCCCCCCCACCCCCAGTGGAATTTTTATTGGTTACTCATTTCATTTCTACCCCACTTTATATTTTAAAGAAAAACATTCAAAACAGTTTACAACACATTACAACATCAGATAAAACAATCCAGAATAGAACAAATTCAGACTTCAAGGAAAATATTTCAGATCCTTTTCTGAGTGACATTTTGCTTTTCCCATATTTATTTATTTACCTACTTAATTTATATAGCTGTCCCACTCTAAGAAGTCAGTGTGGTGTACTGGCTAGAGTGTCGGACTAGGACCTGGGAGATCAGGGTTCAAACCCCCACTTAGTTGTGAAGCTCACTGGGTAACCTTGGGCCTGTCACAGCCTCTTAGCCTACCTCACAGGGTTGTTGTAGGGATTAACTGAGGATGGGGGTGAACCATGTGCACCTTGGAGGAAAAGGTGGGATATAAATGCAACAAATAAGCTCTTCTGCTTACCTGCTTAAGATAGCTGGAGGGGCCAGCCAGATGGAGAGGTCAGTTGCCAACCTGGCATCCAGAAATCTCCACGTGGTCGCAGTTGGACCCACGCCAGTTGCAAAAGGCACCTGGGAAATTTCAAACACTACTCTCAGGATGACCTGGCCTCTTTCCATCAGGAGGTAGGTTTTATCCAGGGCTTGTTGTCTAGGAGCAAAAGCAGCTGCTGAACTGTGCATGAAAACCCCAGGCACAAAAAGGTTCCCTTACTCTCCACTATCCTAACAAGATGCGCGGGGTAGGGGTGGGGGTATTGAGATTCCCCTGTTCCCAGGGGGCGTGTTGGAATAAAGGAGAGCTGAAAAGGAGCAGTGGTCTTGGGGCAAGTTTGTAGGGGGCTTCATATGTAAGAATTGCCCTGCTGTGTTAGACCAACATCCTGTTTCCCGTAGTGAGCATCCAGATGCCTCTCGGAAGCCCTCAGGTAGAACCTGAGCCCTTTCCCACTCGTGCTTCCTCGTGACTGGTATTCAGGCTGCCACTACAGGTATCAGATAGCCATTGTTAGTAGCCTTTTGGATGAATGTTGCAGAAATCAGCTGGGTTGAACATTAAACCTTTTCACTGCTGAAATATGAGGGCATGGACTGTAAACAGTTGCCCTCAATTAAAAGATGGACTAGGCTAGTTTGGTGAGCAACACCTGCCCTGCATTGCTGGGTGGATGTTATCAGCCTCTGTGCATGGTAAGACCACAAGGCTGAAGGATTCCTGTATTGCGGGGGATTGAACTAGGTCGCCCTCGTGGCCCCTTCCAGTTCTATGATTCTAAGGCAAGTGGCAGCAGAAAGAAAAAGACTTGGCTGGCCTTGTAAGAACTAAGCCATGCTATGTTTGGCTGTGTGCCAAGTGTAAATCTTTCATTTGTGGTGCATGTCTGGTTCTGGTCTGGCTTGAGGAAATGGGTAGTCTTAGTTTATGACTTCCGTAGGGGGTCACTGTCCTCCTCCTTGATGTCCTGCAACCTCTCTGGCTTCCATTTAGTTGCTGTGCTAGTGGTTTCTCTGGACATGGAAAGTTCTGTCTGTCTGTGATAGGTCAGGAATAGAGACAGGGCCATAGTCAGGGATCTCAACTAACTGAATGTCTTCAAAGCTCAGGAAGCCTTATCCTGCAAGATCCCTCTGAGCAGAATGAATAGATTACATTTGATTCATTATATGCAAGCTTTATTGGTGTCAGGGTCAGGGAAGTGCTGTTGCCTTTGGAAAATGGAGAGACAAGGAAGAGTGGATCAAGAATGTAAGGATTAATTCAGTGTGAAACCAGAGTTGGAACTTTCTTCATATCCTTTTAGAACCTTTAGCATACATTGCTATGCCCCTATAAGCATTTCATCCCCTCATAAGGGTCACAAATGTTATTTTAAAACAAAATAACAGCAACAGTTTTTTCTGGAGTGTTCAGGACCACATACTGGGATATTGTATGTTTCCTGATGCAGCCATACAGTAAGCTAGCTAAGTAAGCTAGCAAAGTTTTTGAACCCAAGCCTCCTGGGTCTGCTGGCTCATTCGGGCTTTACCATAACATTCTGCAGGCCTGCCAAAATATTTTTGTGTTACTGCAGCCAGAACCATGTTTGGGGATTGAATGAAATAATTCACATTCCTAAGCAGGCTGGAACAACTCTTCTGCTGCTGTATGCTCTGCTCCTCAGGTAAATTGGTGGGCTATTCCAAGTCAGAAGGTGCAGGATTCCACTTTCCCTGCTGCCAGGGACAACTGATCCCAGAAACACTTTTTATTTTGCCTCTTGTACTGTTAGCTGTGCAGGCTGGGCCAGCTGGTTGTCATGACATAAACAAGCAAACATACCTGACCTGCTGTGCTTTTGCTTTGAACTGTTTTTAACAAATCTTTATAGCTGCCCTTCTTGCGTCTGTTTCTTCAAGGCAAACGAATGCGCGTGCAGTTGTCCACCAGCCGTCTCAGGACCGCACCCGGGATGGGAGACAAGAGTGGCTGCTACCGGTGTGGGAAGGAGGGTCACTGGTCTAAAGAGTGCCCGGTAGATCGCACGGGGCAAGTGCCCGAGTTGACCGAAACTTATAGCGAGCAATACGGAATGGTGCGCACCCCCTACCCTACGGGCTATGGGGACCCCGTGTATTATGATGACCCTTACGGAATGGTGGACTACTATAAACGGTATCGCGCGAGGTCCGCCGCGGCGTATGGGGCTTCTGCATACGACGCTTATGCGGAGCAGACCATGGCCCAGTATTCCCAGTACGCCCAGTACTCACAAGCCACGGCCATGGCCAATCGCCTCTCCACTGCCTTAGAGCCCTACGAGAGGGCCTTGCTGCCTGCCTCGGGAACTGCAGCAGCAGTAGCTGCTGCGGCGGCGGCCGCGACTTCCTCATTTTACACCCGGGATAGAAGCCCCCTGCGTCGCTCGGCAGCTGCGGCTTCCACCGTCGGAGACGTGTACGGATACGAGCGTGTTCAGCTTTCTCCCGTTCCGCGATCATCCCTCTACGATGTCCAGCGGTTCGGGCGGGATGCAGGCGCGGACAGGTTGCGATACTCCGCGTATTGAGTCTGGAGGTGAGAGCGTTTTTTTCCTGAGTCGCTTGGAGGAGGGGGATGGCACATTAGCGTGGCTGGTGAGACTTGGGGAAATGGTCTGCTGTGTCTTGAGGGATACCTTCTGGTATCTGCTGTGCTCTGGATTGCAAAGCTGCTGGCAGCAGCATAGGCCTAGCACTTAGGATATCTGAAGCAACCTGGAGCAAGCGATGCAGCTGGGTGTGGGAGGTGTAGTTTGGACCACTGTCACCAGCCCAGCAATAGAGGGAGGAGAAGTGAGCTCCTTGAGGGTTTTGCTGCATAGCTGGACTGAGAGTATTTTCCCGTGGGAAGAATAGGCTCCACTCTCCTGCTCTTAAAATCTGGCCCAGTCTGTCAATTTCTTGCTCTCCAGCCCAAGTGCTTCGGTTGTTTTCCCCCTCTGTTGCCATTGACCTTGCACCTTTGCCATCTGCTCACAAGGCTTCCAGCATCCCCCTTGCATATGTAGCTTGGTATGCACTATAGAGGCTGGGGCTGAGATGTAGCAGTCTTGCAGGAGATGCAGTGGCCTTTGGACAACGCTGCTCTGAAATAAGCAGCAAGTCTTTAAGCATCCAGAAGATTCCCCAGCTTCATCTCTGAGCTGTGTGCTGGGAGGGTCATTCTCAGAGGGCCTGTGAATTTTCAAACATGACAGCTTGTCAAAGGTGCAGTTTCAACATCTCCTTACACAAGATTAGCCATGCTGAATCAGACCAAGATCTGCCTAGACCAGCCTTCTCCTTACAGCAGTGGCTAATTAGGTACGTCCCAAGCTGGGCATAAAGTTGAGCTTCCCTCATCTACTCCAGCATTCATTCAGAGTTGTCCTGCTCAATTCATGGAGGTGGCCATTGAGAAGATATCCTCCTTTATGAATTTGTCTGATTCTTTTTAAAAGCCACATAATTCAGTAGCCATCACCCCATCTTCTGATAGTAAATTTCTTCAGTTAATCATGCATTATATGAAGGAATACTCTGATTTTCTCTATCCTAAACCCATTGGCAGGTAACACTGAGTCCTAGTAGTATATGAGAGAGGGTGAATAATTTTCTTTCCACTTTCCCCCCATGTGGTTCATTATTTTATAAACCTCTCTCCATCCATCCCATTTGTCTTCTTTCTAAAACAAAAACTAAAAGCCTTATATTATAATGAAAGCACTCCACACCCTTGATATCTTAATTGCTTCCTTTCTGTATTTCTTCCAGCTGTGTGGTGCCCTTTGAGGGATAGGACAATATGCAGCATTATAAAATGTTACCATACCACAGATGCATATTATTACACTTGTAATTCTGTTTGCAATCTCACCCTAATAATTCCCCATATTGAGGGATTTTTCTTCCTCCCCTTTTTCTAACTGCAACATTTTTATTGAGCACACACACACACACAAATACACAACAGCTCCCTATTCGGGTAGTCAGCATGCATTCATCTGGAAGTTAGGTTGAATTGTGTGCAGTTGACAGGGGAACGAGGAGTCCCATAGGTGTGTTTTACTTGCAACCAACTGCAATAATAGCAAATGCCACCATTTGCTGTTTGTAGGGTATCTATGTCCCCAGTGCACAGTAGGATAGCCTGAGGCTCCTCGGCAGTGTCAGAATGGATGGGCAATTCACATGCAAGTCAGGGTTTAACTACGGTTGACATAGGCTGTATCACTGGTAGAACTTGTGCTTTGAATGCAGAAGGTCCCAGGCGCAGTCTCCCCCCAAAGGATTAAGTAACAGGTGTTGGAGAAACCCATTTTCTCAGTGAAGCTCTGGAAAGCTGCTGCCAGTCAGAGTAGACAACATAAGACTAGATGGAGAAGTAATCTGAATTGGAGTAAGGCAGCTTGCTCAGTGAAGAGACCGCAGCTCACTGGTAGAGCTCTGCATACAGAAGGTCTCAGGTTCAGTACCCTTCATCTCGTGTTAAAAGGATCCCTGGTTGTGAAAAAAGGACCTCTGCCTGGGAGCTTGGGAGGCAGTGTCAGTCACTGGTCTGAGCTGAGAGAAGGCAGTCTTAGTCCTGCTTCAGGGTGGATTGCAAATGCCAACAAATGAAGCATTGCCCCAAAAGTGGTTGCCCCAATGTGCATTTTAACTAGTTGCTTACATTTCAGGAAATCTGTAACTAAAATGAACAAACTGAGAATTTCCTATAAATAGGGAGGTTCTTTTGCTTTTCAAAATAAATATTTCACATTAATTGGGGTTGCGGGGACCAATGTTCCCATTAAACTGCTCATCCTGTATTATGGCTCCCAGCCAAAGTGGGATGCTTTGTAAACCGCTGAGGAACATGCTGATAATTATCTTTCCAGAGCTATTTGTGAAATAGTTACAATTCTGAGTTCTCTTTCTCTTTCTATCCCTGATGCCTGTTCCTTCCACCAGCCTCACATACAGCTTTCTTGACATTCAGAAGTTTGGGTAGGTACTCACGCACCATCCTTAGAAGTGAAGATCTTTGTGTTGGAATCCTGTGCGACGTGGTCCTGGGTTCCCTCTAGGCACTCTAGGCAGAGATCCACCTTTGAGCCTTCAAATGAATTGTGTCTTTTATTTTTCAGGTAGGCTATTTGAGGGCTGGACGTCGGGTTCCTGTGGTACATCCGCGACAAAACTGTGCCAGGCTTCACGATGTGTCAATTTGTGTTTAGCATGGTCTCACTAATGGACATCTTGTGTCTCTTCAAAGTTTAGTGACAACTAACTTCCCCTTAAAAACAAAAACAAAAATAGAACACCTTTCCCAAGGATTTTTGCGGGGCTGGGGGCTGGGGGGAGGGAGGGAGGAGTTGTGGGGAGTTCGGCAATAACTGACATTGCACCACCCCACCCCCCGCCTAGACCTGGATTTTAAGTTTAGGGTGGTCCTGGGTGGAACAGGAGGCAAGCTCTTCTCCTTCTGGAGCCTACTTTAAGCCACAGCCTTCCCTCCCAGCTCAGTTTCTGTCTCCCTATTTGTGGCTTAATTTTGGAAGTGAATAATCAGTACTCCCCCCCTTTTTTTCTTTTTGTTTGTTTTGTCATATTTGGTATTTTCCTCAGTTTATTCCCTCCTGTGGAGTCCTTCTTATACTGATAATTAACCTGTGACTTTTGTTCTCTGAAGTTTGACAAAACTTTTCCCCCAGTAAAATAAAACATTTGTAACAGATGCCTGAGAGTTTTTGTCTGCTGTACTATAGACTAAAAGAAAAAACGACAACTTAAAGCAGTTGTGAAGCCCTATGATATGTGTTAAAGTGAAATGGGACAGTGTAGCTATTTAGGCACCTGATGAGCGAACATTCTCTCTGCTACAGGCCAGCTGCAAAGTTCAGCCCCCTGCAAAACTGAAGGTTGATTTCTTTTTGCTCTCCTGAGTTAGGCTATTTCACTTCATTGTACAGCAGGATGTCTAAATGTCTTATTTATTGCTTCATTTGTCAGTTGCACAAGAACTATCATCTGAGGCCTAGGGAAATCGATCCCATCTGCTGTTTCTTCCCGGCAGGAATTGGTTGGTCTGAAGTGAGCATCATTTCGTAATTCCATACATCTCCCTCTCCCCCGCACCCACAAGCCCATACGTGCATATTACTGCAGCCCATAAAACAAAGGCTGAGTTAACCATATGGCCAAAAAGCTGCTTTGTGATGGTTAACATAGAGGTACAGCCTCTTGAGTTAATACAGAGCAGTCCTTAGTGTTGAGTTGCTTACCCCTGTTTTAGCCTAAAATTGCAAATGTGTGTGGGAGGATATGCCTATCCCTCGTGGGGACCACCCTTCTCACTTTCTAGCTGCCACTTGTTCACTTGAGAGAAACCCTGCTGTGATGTCAAATAGCAACCGCAAGGTGCTGCAAGATGTGAGATTTAGTGATCTCTACATGCATGTTCCACCAGCATGAGTTTGACCAAACTGCGGGAGGTAGTGGAGGACAGAGGTGCCTGGTGTGCTCTGGTCCATGGGGTCATGAAGAGTCGGACACGACTAAACGACTAAACAACAACAACATGCATGTTCCGCCACTATCCCATTTTCCAGTTGCCTCATGCTAAGGGTTGGTTACAGTGCAATCCTAACCACGTCTACTCAAAACACAGTGGGGCTCACTCCCAGGTAAGCAGGACTAGGTTTGTAGTCTTTGCTGAGATACAGCACAAGTTGGGGGCCAAAGGCTTTATGTAGCTTGCTTTTGATGATGGATTAGAAGAGAGCTTACATCATGTAGGTGTTCTGAGAGGCACCTCCAAGCAACAAGGGACAGCAAAGCAGAAAGGGTGGAGTGCTGGTCCTGCTTATACTACAAGCCACATTTGGACCCAGAAAGCAACTTTCCTTGAGGTCAAACTGGACCTTTTCCTATTGTGCTTCCCCAGCTGCTTGTTCTGAGTCACCTACCAGAGGTTTTATTCTGCTGGCATCTCAACTGTTTTCTCATAGAATCTTAGAACTGTAGAGTTGGAAGGAACCCTAAGGATAATCTAGTCTAACCTCCTGCAATGCAGGAATATGCATCTGTCCCTTATGGGGATCAAACCTACAACCTTGGTGTTATCAGCACTATGTTGTAACCAACGGAGCTATCTTTTGGGTGTCAATGATAAACTTCTATCTGAAGTGCTCATGGCATACCCTTTCTTCTTCTAACCAGCAACTTTGGCCTGTGGTTTTGTCATCCTGCTTCATTTGCAACAATTGATACAGTAGTTGATAGAAGGATCAGCAGGCATTTATTCAACCACCAAACTGGCCACCAATACTGAATATTTAAGCCTTAAATACCACACCCATCATCACCTGGTGGGGGCTGAGGCTGATGGAAGTTGTAATCCAAAATTTCTACAGGGCAATAGGGTGCAGTAAGTTGTACTGCTTTTCAGGCAGACCTCACAAAGCTATTTATCTGTTCTTAAATCGGTATACCACCCTTCATCCAAAGATCTCGGGGCAGTTCACAGCATAAAGACACAAACAAGAATGAAAGCAAAACAAAACAACACCCCCCATACACATTTAAAAGTGCATAGAAAGTTAATTGGCCAAAGGCTTGATTGAAGAGATGTTTTTGCCTGGTGCCTAAAGGTGTATAATGAAGGTGCCAGGCAAGCCTCCCTGGGGAGAGCATGCCACAAATGGGGAGCCACTGCAGAAAAGGTCCACTCTCATGTTACCAACCTGCAGACCTCTCCTGGAATCCATTTGCAATAACCAGAGAAGACTGAAGAGGACTGAGTGGGGAGAAAGTTGGGTGTCTACTATAGAGATACGCAACTGGCAGCTCTGCCAATCCAGCCCCCCAAAGGATTTTAGCTGCCTCTTTGTTACTAACCGGTATGAATAGTTTCATATGATAACGTAACTACAGTGGTGCCCCGCAAGACGAATGCCTCGCAAGACGGAAAACCTGCTAGACGAAAGGGTTTTCCGTTTTTGAGTTGCTTCGCAAGACGAATTTCCCTATGGGCTTGCTTCGCAAGACAAAAATGTCTTGCGAGTCTTGCCATTTCCCCCCCGCTTTCCTCCCCTTTTTCTAAGCCGCTAATAGCCTTTTAGCAGCTCAGCCGCTAAGCCTTTAATAGTCGCTAAGCCGCTAAACCGCTAATAGCGCTAATCCGCTTAGCCGCTAATGGGGTTGCTTCGCAAGACGAAAAAACCGCTAGACGAAGAGAATCGCGGAACGGATTCTTTTTGTCTTGCGAGGCACCACTGTACAGTACTTGAAAACCACTCTGGAATGAATATTGTGGTCTTGGTTCCTACTGTAGGAAAACTAGTTGCTGACAACCACCACTGTTGCTCTACATCTACCCTCCACCACCACAACAACAATAATCGTTGCTCTACATCTACCCTCCAGTTGCCATGTAAGATTGATGGGTAAGCCAGGTCCCCCATTACTCAACTATGGAACAGAACCCCACCACCCCAGCTCCATCAAGGGCAACCTGTACTGTATGCTTGCAGTTTAGTAGAACCTTTAGTACAGTAGCCAAAACTCTGAAGACACACTAAATTGCCACATCCCACTTCCTCCATCCCTCAGGGGCACGGACATAGGCTGGACACAACCTGTGCCAGAGGCCCTGGGGGATTGAAGAGAATGTGCATGGCAGGCACATCATGATTCTTTGCAAAATCATGGTCTAATAGAATTCCGGATAAGATGGCAAGGTAAGCCATAGGGAATAAATTCATAGCAGGCCTAATGTGGTCTGTAAGCAATTACCAGTACTTCAAAGATCATGGCAGCACTTCAAATCATGAGGACAAGAAATGTTTTTAATTTGAGGATATCGGGAACCTTAAATTCTTCATAGGATCCAGTTCATTTGTGGATAAGGCACATCTCACAAACTGACAACCCTTCTGAAATTTGGAATGAGCTAAACATATTCTGGACGTTTGGTGCATGCCCACATTTTCCCCACCACCACTCTCTGCTTTTTCCCTTATTCCACCAATAGACCATGGCACTACAAACTGAATCTAGGTTGTTGGGGTCTGCCTCCATGTTTCTCAACCTTTGGCTTGGCTGAAGGAGAGGTCTGCTGGAAAAGTATGTGGATGAATTTGGTGCATGTGCAGAAAAGATGTCTTCTCCACTGCCATCTTGGTGTGTTGGCCATTGAGCTAAACAGTGGTACCAGTCTTTAAGGGATAGGAGGAAGTCTTCTAATTAGGCCCCTTTTCTGGACGACTCTCCTCAATGTATTGGCACGTCGCTCCTGCTGTAGCCAATAGAGCATCTCCACTGTGTCCCATGCCATCTTCTGCAGGTATGGGCGTCCCTTGTAGGTCACTGTGTCATTGTAAGACTCTTTGATGTTGTTCAGGATGATATAGAGCTCTGAGTCATACTGGGCCAACTCAGAGCGCAAGCGGTTCCTGGTTCTGGATTCCTTCATTCGTGCTATGAAGGAGCGGGGGGCCAGCTCAAACAAGCGGTTTGGATTCGAAGCAGTTTCTTCAAACTGTTCCAAATCAGCCAGCAGGAGTTCTCGGTCCTGGATAGACCGTGCTGCTGTCTCCCAAGCTTGGAGCATGTCTGGGAGCAGCCAGTAATATGGGTTGGAGCTGTACTTAATTGCCATATCCAGCCTTTCCTGTTCAGAGAAATGAAGAACTGTCCACAGTCTTTCCAGCCTTCTCTGAAAGACCTTGAGATCCTCAGATGTGTGGTCAGAGCAAAAAACATTTTCCAACCCCCGCAGCATGGCACATTTGGAATTCCACTTCCCATGCTCAAACTCTTCCTTCTTGGTTTGAATTTCAGCAGCTTTCTTTATCACGTCTCTCTTCACTTTCACTTGTTTCTTTACTTGCACCTCATCTAATACAGGCTGTTGCTCCTCATCTTCCTTAACGCTGTATAAATGAAATATCACTGGCAAATAGTCAGATTCCTTGGTGCCAATGTATTTCAAGTAATCATCAGTGTTGAATGTTGCTTTCCACCATTTAAGCCAAGAGGTTTTTTTACCAGTATTTTTTTTGAAGGGTACATTTGGGCTCTCTGACACTTCCTCAGGGACAAATGGTCCAGGTGGCAGGATGTTACTCAGCTCTTTATTAATGACCTGTTCACTTTTCCCCCTAGTCAATGTTGAGGAAGCAAAGCACCCAGCCAGTTGAATGTTGGTTGCAGGGGATTCTATCATGGGCCCTAGGTCGAATTTCAGGTGGTCTTTTGGGATAGTATTCATTAGTTCCTTGTACATCTCCCTGACCTCTTCACCAGTGGAAAGATTTGCATCCAGAGACTTCACTGTAGCATTATCTATCTCTCCAAGGAGGTGGTTGTAAATTACTGGGCATATCTCCATAGACACAGCTTCTACGTAGGTTCTTTCTGACACTTGCATATCAGCTGCCTTCACAACCATCCTTTCGTTGACTTTAAAGTTCACTGTTGCAGCCTGAGGATGTGTGGCTGGGGCAGCAATCATGGTGTTCTTCCGTGACATCTCAAAGGACTCCTCTCGTTGCAGAGAGCAAAGTATTCGCTGAAGCTGCTCAAGGCGAACCTCATTAGTCTTGCGCCGTGTCAAGGCTTTAATGAGGGGAGGGAGCTCTAAATCCTCATCCTGCTCTCCTTTCTGCTGGCTGCTTTTCAGGACTGTTCTCTGTGCTAGCCTTCGGAGGTCCTCAGCCAGCCCGGCCATTCCCTTGAGCCCTTCATCTTCAGTGGTCTCACCATAATGACAAGGCAGATCAGGGCTGATAGGGCGCACAGATAAACGAATTCCAAGTTCATCTGCTAGGAGCTGTCCAACTCTCATATTGGGCAACGACTGGCTCCTCTTGAGACTGCTGGAAATGGCATGCTTAACCCGCTGGAGTTTAGGCCAATCTCCTAAAGTACTGGTGCGTGAGCATGGCATTGTCATCACATCAGACTGCATTTGTCTAAAGTGGCTACTAGAGCTCGGTCTTGGTAGATTTAACTGCTTTATTTTGTTCATGTCTAACAAAGGTAAGTCCTCCAATTCCTTGATATCCTTCGCTATCTTCTGTCTCATCGTTGGTATGTGAGGTTTCATAAGCCTGATGAAGTAGTCAATGCTGAAACGCAGATTGCATGTGTCCATCTGCGTTGACCTCCAACCCGCCATACTAACCTGTTTCCTGGACGTTTCGGTCTGGCGGAGTTGCAAGGTCTTCGTGTCCATTATTAGACGGTGGCGGACGGCTGCTACATTGAGGAGCCTGGAACAGTCCAGAGAGAGTTGGGCAGAGAAGCGAGTTACGTTAGCACAGTCCGTGAAGACAGACAGTGCACGATGGCGCTCCATGACAGACAGATAGCGACGGAAAAGGTGCTGGCATACCAATCCAATGTAAGTCACCAGGTGCTGGTAGAGTTCCCTATTTTCCTGGGGACTGAAGGCTGGGTCATACAGGGAACGTTGTACATCCTTAAAGATGTGCTTGACCTCGGTTAGGATGACCTGCTGGAAGGCCCGCTGGTGTGGGCTGGGTATTTGCTGCCACTGGGTCCCCACCTCCATCCGGCCTTTTAGCAGCTGCATGAGGTTGGCCAGGGAGATGGGCACAGGCACAGGCTTCTGCAGGGACGAGATGGCAGAGGACCCTTTGTCGATCGAGCTCCTCAACCTGGAGACGGTGGCCGGGAAGAGGGACAGGGGGGCGAGGATCCGCTGGTAGTGGTCATGCAGCTGCTGGTTGGCCTTTTCCGTGTTGTCTAGGGCGTACACCTCGCGCCGGGGAAGCGCGACAAACGAATTCATGGCGGGGAGCTCGGCGGAAGCTGCAGCTGCAGCAGCGACAGCAACCCCAGGGTGGCTTATGGAGCGGTCGTCATGGTTACTCCACAACGGACTACTCGGCGCCAATCGGCTTCCCCGAGGGACGCTGAGCGCGAGAGTTTGGTTCCGGGCCTGGGAAAAGGGCGCGCGGACTCCGAAGAGGAGGGGGCAGGAAGTGACGTTGTCAACTCCGTTTACTGCTCTTTTTACAGGACGAGTCGGTCGCCGATCATAGAGATGAGCTAGAGTGGCAGGTCAGCGTCTTCCGGGTTCCTGTTTGTGTTTGTACAAGCGGGTCCGGTGGGCAACATTTCCCCGTGAAGGAAAAGGAAGAAGGAGGCGGCGGCGGCGGCGGCGATGGAAGCACCTCCAGGAAGCGGTGGAGACAGCAGCAACTGCAAGGTGGGATAGAATCCCCCGCCGGGGGTGGGCCACTGATTTCTTTGCCCAGCCGTTATCTCGCCTTAAAAAGCAGAGGCATGACATGCAGAAATCCAGCAGGGGAAGTTTTTTTCTCTCGCCGCGTCTGCCCCTGTTGTGTTTCTGCCTGCTATGGCAAACATGCAGGAAGCCTTCCGTGAGGGTGGGTGGAATTGTTACCTTTTATCGGATGGTTGGAGAAACGGGCGGGGGATCGTTCAGCGGCAGAACAGACGTGCAAAGTCCTCCTCCAACGGTAGCTCCAGTTAGGAAGGATCGCGCAGCGAGGAATGGAAAGGCCCTCCTCTTCCTGAGGCCCTGGAAAGCCATTTCCAGTCAGAAGAGACAGTACTCAACTAGATGGACACGTAATCTGCCATGGTGAAATACAGCTTGCATATACACAATAAAGATATAGCTTTAGTGTTTAATTGCTTTTTAATGAATATCTTTTCATGCTTTTATCTTTTAAGTTGCCTTGATTACCGGTTTGGGGGAAAGGCGGGATATAAAGATGATGATGATAAACGTGCAGGTTTAGGGTGTCCATGGAAGTAGAAAGACTGTTGAATGGGTGAAGGATTCAAACTACTGCTCCTAACATAGTACTAACCTTATCCTGTGAACATAATGTGCTAAGGAGGACCACCTGCCCACCAGGTTCAGCACTGTTCCCCCTGCTTTCCTTGAATAGTATCTGGTAATTTGATATCATGTTCCAGCTGCAGATCAGTAAGAGATATTCTGCATTCTACATAAAACGACATTTTTCTTTCTTTCCTTTTTTAAATAAGCAGCTTTGGACTCATATGAGCTTCTCTCGCTTTTTTACAGCTGGAGTTTGCTGTCCAGATGGTGTGTCAGAATTGTGTTGAGGCCATTCAGTCATCTCTGCAGGGAATACCAGGTGATCAGATGATGAAGGCCTGTGACATTTGTCAGGATCCTATGGCCCTCCAGATGCTGTTGAACTCCAACTACCATCAGCCCTAGCCAGCAAGGATGATGGTAGTTGAAGTTGGAACAACATCTGAAGTGACAATTCTAAACCCTGTCCAGGGAGTGGGCATTTTTCCTGTTCCTTGGGCGCACTGCAATTTTATTTTTCCCCACTGCTGACATTGACACTCCTCAGAAAGCGCAGCAGTACTAAAAAAATGTGTTACAATATCAGCACAATTGTCCATCTAGGTCTTCATCTTGTCTACAGCTACCAGACAACATCAAAAGCCTTTCTCCAGGTTCTTCTGTCTAAATCTGCCAAGATAAGTGTGGGGAATCTTTGGCCATCCATATATCTCTGAACTTACAGCTCCCATCATCTCTGGCTGTGCTTGCTGGAGCTGATAGGAGCTGTTGATCAGCAACATCTGGAAAGCCAAAGGTTTCCCACACCTCCCCTTGCAGAAGGGCCTTTTTAATGGGACAATCTACACAGGGAGGTCCATCAAACCTAGATACTCCCTGGTTTCAGGTGCCAGGCTAATTCCTGAGCTTTTGCGCTTGTTCTCCTTTTCTCTGATAAACTTTTCCCCGCCAGGTGTTTGTATCATTTTCTTGATTTGTGCTGTTTTTGATTTTAATTGTTAGCTACCTTGTGACATTGCTAAAACATATGGCTATCCATTTAAAAAGGAAACAGTGACTATACAGATGCCACCAGGAGAATAAGAAGCAGGGGTAAAGATATCTCATAAGGCCACTGAACCTATGCCAAAAAATCCAGACAAAGTCACGCCAAAGTGACATTTTGGTCTGCTGTCTTGCTTCAGAATGGTAGCCAATGTCCAAACACTGACAACAACAGCTACCCCCAGTGTGGGAACCCTAGTGCCAAATTTGGCAAAGACATCTTGAGGTAGCCAGTCCTATGGAGAACAGATGGTCAGACAGACAAATCACTTTCCAAAATATATAGCAGATTGGTGGTACTCAACAGGCAGGTTTGTGTAGGAGGAATCATACTGTTGGAATGGTCCTCACCGTCCATCCAGATTGTGTTTCGAAACCTCCAGCAAAGTTGGGAGTCCACTACCTTCCAAGGCAGTTGGTTCCACAGCCGTAACACCTATGCCATCAGGAAGGTCTTCTGAATATTTTGTGTTAAGGATAAAGGAGGAGGCTCTTGTTATGAGTAGAAGTGGTGGCTTGTCAGGGGAGCAGGGCAGTTTAATGGACTAGTGTGGAATACAACAGTTGCATCATGGCAGTGACTTCTGTCTTTGCACTTCACCTTCTCCTTCCCTATCTCTTTCCACCTCCTACCTCTTCCCCAGGCCTCCAGGTGCTTAACGTCCAGCTGGAATCACAGAGTGTGCTGGTGGAGACTAGCCTTGGTGCTGAGAAGGTCCAAAGCCTATTGGAGAGCACCGGACGCAGTGCTGTGCTGAAAGGGATGGGGGCTGCTGTGCCTGGTAAGCTGATTCTGCCTCACCTCCTTCCAGCTTCCCACCTAGAATATCTCCACAACAAACTTCAAAACTGGTTTTCAATAGGTGCCAAGCATCATGGCTTCTTCATCTCCTCCCAAACGAATATTGGCAATTTTAGCTAACTAGGGGGTTGGGGGAGGGGCGGGCTAAGGATTTTTATCAGAAAATGTGCTGGTACAGAGAAGAACAGTGGCTAGAGCAGGAGTTGTCAACCTCCCCTCCTGCCATCGAGAGTGACATTTGCTCATGGGCAACTTGTCAGTGGCTGTCTGCCATCTCTCTTTCTCCACCCATCAGTCTGTGTGGGGGATCGACAAGCCATCCTTGCCAAAGGCCTAAATGGGTAACTTGCAGAGGACTTTTGACCTTAGGCCTTGGGCTAGATCACTGGATCAGAGTAGACTCGTGGAAATTAATTAACATGACTAATTTAAGGCCATTAATTTTAACAATCCACTCTAAGTAGAACTTAGTTGGATACCACCCATGATTGCCCACCACCACCAAAACTGATAAGTGGGGATGGGGAAGATGGGCTGCATGTGTCAGTTCCCCACCAGGAACTGGCATATGCAGCTGAACTTAGCAGGACTGAATCCTCTGCCCATCTGCAGGTTCATCCCAGTGAGATGCAGGGATCAGCTCTGCTTGCCACTTTAAGTCCTGGAAAGTCAAGCAAGAGAAAACTCCCTGCTCAGTACCCATAGGCTTTTCACAGGAGTTGACAGCACCCATCAAACATTGTGATGATGTCACCTGATTGACAGGTAGCCGTGGTTTAACCACCACAGCCTTGCAGGCAAAAATGGGAACCCCTAGCAAGCTAAGGGTGTCCCATGGGTCAGAAGTTTCTCACCCCTGTCCTAGGGCCACAGGCTGCCTACCCCTGTTCTAGAGCCTTCGTCGTGATTGCAGGAGTTGCAGATTCTCTCGCCCTCCCTGCTTATGTGTAAAAGCATCATTATTAACAACACAGTTTCTTTATAAGTTCCAACTTTAACTTAAGATTTCTGCCTTAAGGTTCCACCCTAAGATCACAGTCACAGCAACATTGTTTTTCCACAATATTTTCCCCCCACAGAGGAAGTGATGGCCAATTTACTTTCGGTTTCCCAGCCACAAGAAGAAAAAAAGAAAGATTGATTTTCCCTCAGTTGCTTAATCTTTATCGTCAACCATAAATTGGGCTTTTTGCTCTGCCTTAGACACTTTAACGACCAGTTTTCTCTCTCTTATTAAAGACAGAAAGTGGCTCTTGCAAGTTTTCCGACAGTGAGTTTTCATCTGCCGGCTGATAAATCTCGCTAAGTTATAGGCTATCCTGTCCCAAAAATGTTTAAGGGAGGATGCAGAACTTATGAAGGGTTCTTATGAGTTTGGATGCAGTGTCAATTCAGACAGCAGAAAACAGTTTTGATCAGAGCACTTGAGGTTACTCCCTTGATCACTCTTTATCCCACTGTGATTTCGTCTGATTACCATCAGTCACCACAAAATTAACCTCTGTCAGCAGAGAGTAGACAGAGAGGCAGGCAGTCCACCATTTCCTCCCCTGGAAGTCTCTTGGTCCTGAGAGTGACATGTGCAAGGGAACTCCTCGAAGCAAGCAGCAAACTTGTGCGACCTCTTCCCTTTATAGGGAGTCTCGGTGCTGCCGCTGTGGCAATGGTGTCTGGCCCAGGGTTGGTCCAGGGTGTGGTGAGGTTCTTGCAGCTGTCCCCACAAAGCTGCCTCATTGATGGCGCCATTGATGGTCTGGAGCCGGGGCTGCACGGCCTGCATGTGCATGAGTTTGGGGATGTCACCAATTCCTGCGACAGGTGAGAGGCATTAACGGGCACCTTCTGAGGTGTCTCCTCGGCTTTAGGGAGCCCTTTCTTTCACTGACTCTCGGTATCAAAACTTTTCTTGTGTCTCAAACAGCTGTGGAGACCACTTCAATCCTCATGGGGAATGTCACGGGGGGCCCCAGGATGTTCATAGGGTGAGTTTGTGGCATCGCCAGGTATTAAATTCCTTAAGGCAGGGGTGGGAACCCTCCAGGTTCCTCCTGGTGTTGAGGTGGTTGTCTTGTTTTCATATTGATGAGTGCTGTGCTTTAAATCTGCATTTTTGTTCTGCTCGTAAGTCACCAAAAGACTGTTTTTTAACTAGCTGACTGATAAATTAAATTAATTGTTAACCAGGACCATGAGCCAGTTTAAAGAACTTTCAGTTGATTAATTACGGTAACCAAGCGTGTAACTGATTGAATATCGATAATATACAAGCTATTGCTCATTTGTTAGAAGGGGCATCCTTCTTTCATTCCCTATTGCAATAACTTTTCAGAAATAACCTCAAAAATAAAGAACCGTGTCCTGAACTCTCGTCTCCAGTTAAAACCTGCCCATAGTGATTTAAAATTTACTCCGCACCAATTAATAATAAAGTAACTGAATGAAATGAAATGTTTGCAACCCTGATTTGGGACCCACTTCCAGTTTTGGGAGTTAAGGGCAGGCTAAGCATCCATTTGTGGGTATGATCCAGTGGTGTGAACTTTAATTTCTTTAAAAAACCCAAGAAGTGGGCAGAGGGTTAGCGTTGAAGGAGAGGCAAGCACCTTTTGCCTTCTTCAGGGAAAGGCAACATTTGGGGAAAGCTCTTTAGAATCAGACGAATTTGGTGTAGCACTCGCAGGTTCCCTTGGGCTGCCAAATTGACTTCCACCAACAACTTTTTCTGCTTCCCTGCCAAGCTCATGGGGAGATCCCTGCCTAAGCCCATGCATGGTCCCTTGCCATGTAAACTGCACTCCTCCAACTGTTAATTGATGGGCTGGCTGGGAGCATGGTTGTGATGGGGAGAAAGGCGTGCAGGGAGGCAAGGGATTAACATTGTGTTGTGTGTATGAGAGGGAGGGAGAGAGAAAGGGAACGAACATAGTGGTTTTGGGCTGAGCTGCCCAGAATCTAACTGTGCTTCCTGGGGCTCTGTTTGCAGCATGCTGGGGATCTTGGAAATATCTTGGCAGCTGATGATGGAAGGGCTTCCTTCCGGATGGAAGACAACCAGCTGAAGGTGAGGCTTCCTAGAGGATGTGAGGAGCACAGTGAGTGGGCTTGTGATCAAAAAACTGATGAAAACAACAGGACACTAGGGCAGCTGATTCCTTTTCCCTTCCCCTTTCTTCAGAATCAATAGATCCCTTCTTCCAGTGTAGGAAAATTTTATAGTTTGATTGTTCATTAATTCCTGTAGGGATGGCGTCGCAGGGTGAGGGCACACCCTCCTCTGCAGCATAAGACAAGCCACAGCTGTCTAGCCGCCATGCCCACTCCTTGACCTTTTGTCTCCTCAACAGTGTTCCATGTCCTGACCTTTACCTCCTTTGCAAAGGTATCGCTCATTTCCCCCTGTAATGGGAATATGGCATAGTGGAGCAAGTTGTGTAGATAACTAGGCAACACCCAGGAGGCTCGGGATTGGAGAAGTATAAAGGGCAAAGCCCTGAATGTATCTTGCTGGTTTTGCATATCATGCTGATAAAAAGAGCCTTTGCTAAGCTAGCAATCAGCTTGGTCCTGCACAGCTCACTTGCATCCCAACTCCCGTGTCGGCTCTGTTATGTCTACAAACTCCAGTATCTTTTCCACAGAGCAAACCTTGTGCTGTATTAAACAGACTTTCCTGAGCTCCCTCCTATCAATGCACATCACACCCACCCCTGCCTCAAGGCTTTGTGTGACGCACTTCCCAGTCAAAATGACCTTTCTGTGGTGTTGCTCATGAAACCTGCTTTGCTTGTCAGTTTTCTTCTGTTGTTGGCAGCTTCTCTCAGAGCATTGAGAGTGGTCAGGAACACACCGTGTTGCAGCACTTCATCCAGTGGCCAGACAGTTTTGTTATGACACAATAGTTTGGGCAGAGTTGTTTTCAGTTTAGGGTCAAGTACAATAGTGCCCCTTTCACGGCCAGCATTGCTGGGCGCTGCAATGAAATTCAACCAAGGGGAAGCGAGGAAGTCACTTAAGAAAGTTAATAACTGTAATTTTCAATAAGGCTATGATTTATGTTTGTTATGTTTGTTTGTCTTGTGTGTTTGTTTGTTTGTTTGTTTGTTTGTTTGTTTGTTTATAATATTGTGAAAACCAATAAAAAAAATTGGGGGGGGGAGCATTGCTGGGAGCTGCCACCATCACTAGAGTGATAAGGACTGGTTGCACATGCATTGCTATGCTCCATTTTAGGTTCATGACATCATCGGCCGCTCACTGGTGGTAGATGCAGGGCAGGACGACTTGGGCCGCGGAAGCCACCCGCTCTCAAAAGTCACTGGAAATTCGGGTGAGAGGTAAGAAGGATTAGAGTTTATTGAGTTATCTTTGTCTGCTGCAAGGTGGGGCACCTGACCTAGGAAGCTGTCTAAAACCAGGGCAGATTCTTTGTCCATCAGACATAGCATTGCCTACTCTGGCTCACTGAAAACCAACAGGGTCTTTGGCAGACCCAAGTCTTTCCTGCTACCTGGAGGTGTTGCTTGCCTGGACTCCTCAGAGCCTAGAGGAAAAGGTTAGTCAGTGATTGATCGCACAACTGGTTTTCCATTTAAACAGGTACAGCAGGGTGAGGAACCGTCAGCATGTAGACCTCCAGGCCTCCCCATTCGGTCCATGAGGCCATTTTCAGTAGGCCACGCCACCCATATGGCATGGGCAAAGGGCGAAACTTCAGAGGAGGAATCGGGAGCTTAAAGCTCCCAGTTGTTCTTTGGTCAAGCAAGGTACACCCATAAGATTGCTCCTTCACACCCACAGCCTCCCACCGGTTCAAACTTCTGCTTTGCAAAAACAGGGCACCTGATAACATTCTGACATCCAGTAGGTGTCCCCAACCACTTGTAAAATTTTGTTGCGGGGGTGGGAGGTATAGGGGAGATAAGGATCCTGTTCTTGCCAGCCAGATCGTTTCCCCACCCACCACGATATGCAGTGCATCTCTGGAGTTGGATTTGACCGTGTCTAGTCTGCTGGGTCTTCTTCTGTGTGTGTGGATGGTTTTTTAATATCATTTTTTAAACATACCCAAGTCTTTCCAGAGCTTGAGCTGTGGGAAGGCAGCTGCAAAACTATTTTAAGTCAATAATGCACCGGTTCTCAACCTGTGGGTCCCCAGATGTTGTTGGACTACAACTCCCATCCCTGAGCTCTGGCCTTGCTAGCTAGGGGAGATGGGAGTTGTAGTTCAACAACATCTGGGGACCCACAGGTTGAGAAAGGCTGCAATAATGGGATGCAGAGACCTGGTCTAGTGGTCCTTTCTGCAGCTAAGGACTTAAGCCGCCTTCCTTTTCCTTCCTAGAGTGGCCTGTGGAATCATTGCGCGCTCTGCCAGCCTCTTCCAGAACCCCAAGAAAATATGCACCTGCGATGGAGTGACGCTGTGGGAAGAACGGGAGCGGCCTGCAGCCAGGCCAGACCGGAAAGCTGCTGGCCAACCCACCCCTCATCTCTAGGCTTTGAAGTTCTGCCCAGGCTCTCTTTGGGCTAGGACATCCCAAGGGTTCCAGCTGCTTTCATTTTCCTGTGTGTCCTAAGTGCAATGTGTTAGGCAGGAGTTCAACAGGTGCTGCTTTGTAGTGGCGTAGTAATGGCAAGCGCTTAGCCCCTTGAATGTCTTAATTGTGAAGTTCTTAAAAGGCACTGGAGGAGGAAATGTAGCCTATTCTGCAGTGACATGGTAAAGCATCAGTCCTTGTGAGGTATGTGTCATATGAATTATATCCCTTGTCTGAATTCTAAAATAGTCATTTATGAGCAAAGAGTTTGTTGGAAAGTGTTGTTGCTCTTCCAGTGTCTTTGGGCCACCCATAAACAAGTCTGCTAGCTTTATCTTTGGGTGTTTCAAGTGCCTTATTTTCAGACACACTCACTTTGATTGTAGCCAATGAGTCCTACTCTCAAGTACCGTATTTTTCGCACCATAGGACGCACTTTTTCCCCTCCAAAAATGAAGGGGAAATGTGTGTGCGTCCTATGGTGCGAATGCAGGCTTTCGCACCATGCCTGGAGAGTGAGAGGGGTCGGTGCGCACCGACCCCTCACGCTCTCCAGGCTTTGCACACCTCTCCGCAAGCAGCGGGAGCCCAGCGCTGGGCTCCCGCTGCTTGCGGAGAGTTGCCTGCATGCCGAAGCCTGCGCGCGCTGAGATCAGCGCGCCCAGGCTTCGCGGACCTCTCCGCAAGCAGCGGGAGCGCTCCCACGGCTTGCAGAGAGCTGCCTGTTTGGGGGCTGGGTTCGGGGGAAGCTCGAGCTTCCCCCGCCCCAGCCCCGCGCCTGGGGGGGAAATAATTTTTTCCCCTTTATTTCCCCCCCAAAAAACTGGGTGCGCCCTATGGTCCGGTGCGCCCTATGGTGCGAAAAATACGGTATATCCATTGGAAATCAGTGGACTTAAGTTAATCATGGCCCTTGGTTTCAATGGGTCTACTCTGGTAGGACTTCGCTGGCTGCTTCTCACTTTCTTGACCTTCTCTGTTGCCAATTAAGGATCTTGGTTGAACTTTGGAGGTGGTGTTTCCTGCGATAAACCTTCACTGTGATTCTGTATATAATACAGGGTAAATGAACACAACACTTAACCATTGGTACTCCAGGTCTTGTTGGACTCCCAACTCCCATCAGCCTTGGCCATTGGCCAGTGCTGGCTGGGGCTGTAGAGAGTTGAAGTCCCAGAACACCTGAAGGGACCCACAGGTTTCCCATCCTTGCCCTTGGGACACAGAGTTGGGAAAGGTAATGGGTGGCTATCCCCCCCTCTTTCAGTGCATGTTTAATGAGCAGAATAGGGAAACTAATCCAGCTTAATAATTGTGAGTATGGAAACACAGGAGGGGGTGTTATTGTGAATTAATAAATAAATGCACAGTAGTTGTCATGTTGGGTTTGTGGCTGCCTTATGTGCTACACTGCATGTTTTGGGGAGATGGGAAGGGGGATCCATGACTTCTGAGGTGTGCATACTCTAGACCCGTGCCATTATGCTCTTAATAGAACCATTAAAAGTTAAAATTCTTTTTAGTAGCTATCCAGTCTTATTTGGCTTGACATGTTCATTGGTGTGTATATCTGGTATGAGAGCAATGTTTTGTGGTGTATTCAGAGAATTCCTGAAGTTTGCATTTTTTCTTTCATGCTTTGCCTGGGACAGAAGCATAACATGTCTGCCTTATGTGCAAAGCTAAGCAGGGTCTGGGACCCTTTCAACTCTACCTATCAGGAATTTCCTTGCATAGAAGTCACTCAAGTTTGCGGGATTTTCAGCTGAACACTGAATTTGAGCTAGGAAGGGAAGGAGTTTGAGACCATTTAATAACTCAGAAACAAACAAGATGGAGGTACTGGTATAGCCTAAGGAACCCTGTTTGCAGAAGAATCCCGCACCCCAAAATGTCATTGAGGACAGTGCCTGCTGTAGCTGAAGAATGTCATGCTGATTTGGGGGAAAGGGGAGGTTGGGAATTTGACTGGAATATCCTGTGGTAAGGAATGGCTAGAACCTTGAGCAGAACTCCTGTTAGGAGGTAAGGGAACATTGCAACATTCTGTTGAAGGTCCCACTAGTAAGGTGCAAATTATAAAGTGCATCAAAGAATGGTCTTATGGTGGGGGGAGGACATGCAGTTAAAGGTATGCTACATTCTTGGATTTCTCATTTTGGGGGGTAAAGCTGCTTCCACTCTGCTCCGACTCAAAAAAGCTTATGCCATAATAACTTTGTTGGTCTTTAAGGTATCACACTACAATATGTTAACACAGCTATTCCTCTGGAGAGGAAAAAGTAATAGTGTACAATTCTATGATGCTAGCTCATATGCACATTTCAACTCTGGCTGTTGTCTTTCTAACTGCCAGCGAGTCTGGCTCAGAGCCACTTCCTTCTGTTACCTTAAGGACCCATACTTAGGGGGCCGCTACGTCAACAAAAATCTGTTCCAGCAATTGAATCCTTGCTGGGTGCAGGAATCAGAGAGGACTCAGGCATACACCCTACCCGGTCTCCTAGTTTGACATTAACTTGAAAATGGACACGTTGCACTTTTAAGTTTAACCCATTTTAGAAACAATAGAATCTCCCATCTTTGCTACTAACTTTTCAGCAGGCCAGTCACAAGCCAGGGTGCTGTAATGGTTAGACTATGACCTGGGGAGACCAAGGTTCAAATCCCGCCTTGGCCTGTGAAGCGCACTGGGTGACTTTGGGCCAGCCTATCAGCCTAACTTACCTGACTGGGTTCATGGGGACCATGTGCTCTTTGAAGGAAAAAGTGGCATATAAATGTGATAAATAACCATCGATTTACAGTTCTAACTTCCATCTAAGGGGAATTTAGGTAAGCGGGGGGAGGAAATGCTCCATTTGACTCAGAAGTGCAGTGTAGTTTATATTTTTACCTAAGTCTGTGCTCTACAGCATAGGCGTAGCCAGGATTTTTGTGGGGGGTGGGGTGGGTCAGAAACGACGTGATTGGTCAAGTTAGTTAAGTGTTTCTACTTGATCTGGGGGGCAGCTGCCCACCCACCCCCTTGGCTACTCCCATGCCTTACAGGGACCCATCAATATAACATGTCGCCCTTAGACGACGCATTTCATGTAAAGATGCAGCCTCGACGCTCTAAGGGTTAAAAGACACTGCTGTATCTCCCCGGGGAGGTGTTCGTGCGCACGCGCCTCGCGACGTTAGCGGAACATTGCGCACGCGCCTCGCATCCTCTCCTCAGAGTTCAGGGCCTTACGGTTTGTGAGGGGGAGGGGAGCGCCAATGCGCGGAGCACACTGCGCACGCGCGGCGACTTGGGGCCCCTCCTTTCCTGTGGGTCATCGCCACAGTCACCGCCGGGGCCGCCATTTTACGCGTCTTTCCTTCTCGCCTTCCTTTCCCCCTCCTATCTCTTTCTCTTTCTTTCTCTCTCTCTCTCTGTCCCGGCCTGGCTCCGCTCGGTGAGAAGGGCGAGCCGATGCACCCGGGCGTGAAGGTGTTCGTGGGCAACCTGCCCGAGGAGACCTCGCAGGTGGAGTTGCGCGAGCTGTTCGAGGCGGCCGAGCCGGGCGAGGTCCTGCGGGTGGCCCTCATGAAGCAGTTCGCCTTCGTGCACATGCGCGACGACGCGTCGGCCGAGCGCGCGATCCTCAAGCTCAACGGGCAGTTCCTGCACGGGCACCGCGTCGTCGTGGAGCCCTCCCGCCCCAGGCCCACGCACACCGTCAAGATCTTCGTGGGCAACGTCCCGGCCGCCTGCACCAGCGGCGAGCTCCGCCTCCTCTTCCAGGAGTACGGGCCCGTCGTCGAGTGCGACGTCGTCAAAGGTACGGCAGGCGGCCTCGGCCTCAAAACCCCACCGTCCGCCTCGCCCCGCCGGAACCGCGGCGCCGCCGGGGAGGCGGGCGGCGTGTGCCTTTCCCCTTCTCGGCTGCGAAGGAGGCCGCTTCTCCCCCTCCTAAGTCGCCCCCGCCGCTCCGGATCCGCCTCGCTCGCCAGGTGTTGAAAGCGACAACGTCCCCCGTCCGCTGCCGTTGTATCTCTCTCCCCGCCCCCGCCTCCTCAGTAGCTGGAGGTACTTGGAGGTAGACTGCCTCCAGCTGGGGAGGTTCTGGTCCTTGCTAATGCTTCTCGGTAGGCTTGTTCCGCGAGAAATCGCCTAGTTCTTCTCGTGAGAGCGTAAAAAAGTTGGTTTGAGTGAGAAGGTAAAGAGCGCCTGTAAACGTGTGCGGAGTGCGCCTTTTCCTGTTAAATGATTGCAAAGACTAACTTGCTGCGCTTAACGGTAGCTGAAAAGCCGGGGACAGTAGACTTTTTTGTCCTGACACCTAAATGAAAAGCGTCATGCTTTGGGAAGGCAATTCTGTAACTGGCGGACACCGCTGACAGAAGCCTTATTCCTGACGGTGGGGCTAATGTGAAGAAGGGTAGTACTCGCACGACAGGATGGTGGAGGCATGGGCTTTCCATAATGTATGTTTATCCCAAGCTGCTGTGCAGTATTTTAAAGAGCCAGGCTGGTATGTTGAACAGGCTCAGAAACGTGGCCAGTAATGCACCCAGTAGCTCAGCTAGCAGCTGCATTTTTTTACCACTTGCAATTTCCAGATTGTCTTTTAAAGGCAGCCCCATGCACAATATCCAGCAGTAGTGTAAATGGGAAGTTGCCAGAGCATGGGTCATTGTAGCTAGACTATTCTTGTCCAGCAGAGGTGGTCACAGTTGGCATACCAGTCCAGTGTAAAAAAAGAAAAAAGTATCACTTTACCCTTTGGGGCAAGTGCAATATGTGGGACACAATTTTTCCTGAGTAGGGAACTACCTAACCACAGTATTGCCATCTTGTCAGGACTGAGCTTCAGTTCATTGACCCTCATGTAGCCTATCAGCAAGTCCATTAAGTTTCCTAACTAGTATATAGTTTACCGTGATGGATCAGACCATTGGTCCATCTACTTTAAAACATTTCTCCAGCCCCAACTGGCCCCTGGGAACTTCACAAGCAAAGTACCATGGAACTGTTTACTACTAGGATTCAGCATCTCAAAAATCTCTAAACATGAACATTCCCTTCTTAAATATCCTGTATTCTAATTTATATTTAGTTCATCGACAGCTACCACTTATATAGCCAAAATGGCAACAGACACGCACAAGAGGGGGTATTGGCAGACTCTGAATAAGCCATGCAAAAGTACCAAATACAAAAACTTCAAGGGAAAAAGGCCTAAGTGGGAGTCCCAAAACAGTCCAATAAGAACTGAGCGTGTCTTATGTCTGTGGAGAACTTGCTGTATTTGATGGGAGAAACTTGGTGGGAGAGAAGATTTAATGAGAGTTACTGAAAAAGCA